GGGAAGAGAAGCCAGTGTCATCCTTACTCTGGTCCCTACTATAGGGTGGTGAGGTTAGAACAGAGACAAGAGAGAAACAGGTGTGGTGCTCTCTCTGTCTCTGAATAGTTGACAGTCGTTGAAAGGCCCAAATAGCACCATAGGCTCCTGCTCTGGTATACACGTATACATTAAGAGTCTAGAATGTCTTTTACTAAACTCAGACTTTAATAATGCTTTTGTTCTCTGGGTTGAGTTTTTGTTTTTTTTTTTAACTGTTCGAGTGTAAATTCCTTTCTGGAAAGACAGGAAAAGGAAAAGTTTGTAGTAGATTTTCCAAACACAAACTTTGCTTTTCTATTATGGTTATGGCAACTGTCTCTATTTTAGTAAAGTTAGCCTACTATATGAATGCCATTGTGTGATTTAGATTTTCAGAACCCACAAGTGATGGCAAACAGTTCAACTGGGCATTTTGAATGTACGCTGTAGGCACGGTCCAGAAGCACTGTGTGAAGCTAGGGACCTGTTCTCATCTGTGAGGTTCAGAGGAACCAGGACACAGCAGGGGTGGTGGGGGGTGGGGTGGGAGGGCATAGGAGTAACGAGGCAGTGCCCAGAGACAAGCTTAAGGAGAACTTTTACAGGCAGAAGAAAGAAAGTATTTGCAGAAGTCTTGCCAGGGACAAAAGAAACCATACATTTATGGTCAGTCGGTTTTCCACAAAAGTGCCAAGACAATCCAGTAGGAAAAGAATAGTGTTTTTAAAATTTCCCCCTAACAAATGGTGTTGTGACAACTGGTTATCCACATGCAAAAGCTTGAAGTTAATACTCTCTCACTCCATCCCCCCCAAATGAATGAAAATGCATCAGAGACCTAAATTTTAGAGTTGAAACTGTGGTGCACTCAGAAAAAGACATAAGAGGGAGTCTTTGTGCTCTGAGTTAGGCAGTGCTTTCGTAGCTCTGACATGAAGCCTAAGCTCCCAAACTGTAAACTGCTGTCACACATCACAAAACTCAGAACCTTTGTGCTTCAGAGAATTCCATCAAGACAGTGAGATGACATCCCCACAGAATGGCAGAAAATATTTGCAAGTCATGTATATGATTGATGGGACTTGTATTCGGTTACTTGTCAGATAGAGTGCTGGAAGATGAGTCCCGCAGGTTGAAAGGCACTCAAAATATGACAGGGGAAGAGCTGCCCCCTCAAAATAGATCTGACTGTGATGACACGAATGGAGTAAAGCTTTTGAACCTTCATTTGTTGATGGGGCAAAACTCAGAATTAAGAGAAACAGCTGTGAACATTGATTAATCGGTCAGAATGTGGAATGTGTGAGTTCTGAATCCAGGAAAATTGTAAGTTGTCAGAAATGAAAAACGCATCAAGATTGACATCCTAGGCAATAGTGAGCTGAAATGGACTGGTCTTAGCCATTTCACATCTGACAGTCACATTGTTTACTATGCCGGGGACAACAAATTCTGGAAGAGTGCTATCACATTCATCTTCAAAAAAGAACATTTCAACATCTCTCATAAAGTACAATACTTCTTCTGATAGGATAATATCCACACACCTACAAGGCAGAGCATCTACTATCACTGTTATTCAAATCGACACACCAACCACTAAAGCCAGTGATTGAAATTGAAGATTTTTACCAACTTCATTGTGAAATTGATCAAACATGCAATCAAGGTGTATTTATACTTGCTGGTGATTGGAATGCAAAGGTTGGAAACAAAGAGGAAGGATCAGTAGTTGGAAAACATGGCTTTGATGATAGAAATGATGCTGGTGAGCACATGATAAAAATTTTCAAGACCAGTGACTTCTTCATTGTAAATACTTTTTACACAATATAAAAGGTGATTGTATACATAGACCTCACTAGATAGAATACACAGGAATCAAGTTGACTACAGCTGTGCAAAGAGTTGGAAAAGCTCAATATCATCAGCGAAAACAAGGCCGGAGACAGACTGTGGAACAGGTCATCAATTGCTCATATGCAAGTTCAGGCTAAAGCTGTAAAAAATTAAAACAAGTCCACAGGAGCCAAATATGACATTGAACATACCTCACCGGAATTTAGAGACCACCTCAAGAATAGATTTGATGCTTTAGACACTAAGGAGTAAAACCAGAAGAGCTCTGGAGTGACGTCAAGAACATCCTTCAGGAAGAATGCAAAAGGTCAGTTTAAAGGAAAAAAAAGAAAAGACTAAAATGTATGTCAGAAGAGAACCTGCAACATGCTTTCCAGTGTAGAAATGCTAAAGTAAATGGAGAAATGAGGGTGTGAAAGACCTGAACAGAAAATTTGAAAGGGCAGCTCGAGAAGACAAAGTCAAGAACTGTAAGGAAATGTGCAAAGACCTGGAATTAGAAAACCAAAAGGGAAGAAGAAGCTCAGCTTATTTCTCAAGCCCAAAGACCTGAAGCCTCAACTTAGCAATATTAAATGAGTGCAAAATATTGAATGGTGCAGAAAGCATAAAAAGAAGAATCACTGTACCAAAGAGAGATGGTTGATGTTCAGACATTTTAAGAGGTAGTTTGAACTGCAAGGTCGCCGGTTCAAGCTCACCAACTGCACCTGTACAGGGTTGCTATGGGTCGGAATGACTCGACGGCACTTAACAACAACAACAGTATGATCAAGAACCGATGTGCTGAAGGAAAAAGTCCAAGTTGCATCGAAAGTATTGGTGAAAAGCAAAGCTCCAGGAATTGATGGAATACAGACTGAAATCTTTTAGCCAACTGATGGCAGCACTGGAGTGGAGGCACTCAGTCATCTAGGCCAATAAGTTTGGAAGGCAACTACCTGGTCTCTTGATTGGAAGAGATCCATATTTGTGGTTGCTCCAAAGAGAGATGATCAAAGGAATGTGAAATTTTGCTGAAGGTAATTCAAGAATGGCTATTACAGGGTAGTGTCAGAAGTTCAAGGCAGATTCAGACAAGGATGTGGAACAAGGCATATCATTGCTGATGGCAGAGGAATCTCAACTGAAAGCATAGAAAACCAGGAAGCAATTTACTTGTGTTTTGTTGACTGTGCAAAGACTTTTGACTGTGTGGATCATGATAAGCTATGGATAACATTCCGAAGAATGGGTATGCCAGATCACTTGATTGTACTCATGAGTAACCTGTGCATAGATTAAGAGGCAGTGGTTTGAAAAGAACAAGGGGATACTGAATGGGTTAAAATCAGGAAAGGTGTGAGTCAGGGCTGTATTCTTTTACCATACTTATTCAGCTTGGACTATATGAGGAGTATGGTATCAGGACTGGAGAAAGACTGTTTAAGAGCTTGTGATAATGCAGATAATACAACCTTGCTCACTGAAAGCAAAGAGGACTGACAGTGTAGATTGCACTTCAAAGTGTGCAAAGATTACGGAAAGCCTCACAACCGGACCAATAAATAACATCATGATAAATGGAAAGAAGACTTCATTTTGTTTAGATCCGCAGTCAGCATTCATGGAAGTAGTAGTCAAGAAGTCAAACAACATATTTGCAGTAGGCAGAATTGCTGTACAAGACGTCTCTAAAGGATTGACAAGCAAAGAAATCAGTTTGAGGTCTACGGCTGACCCAAGTATGGTATTTTCAATAGCCTGAGATATGTATGTGAAAGTTGGACACCGAAGAAGGAAAAGCATGGAAGAATTTATGCATTTGAGTTACAGTGTGAGAGAAGAATTTTGGGAGAAGAATATCTGGCGTAGACTACCAGATGTGCAAACAAATCTGTGCTGGAAGAAGTGCAGCCAGAATGCTCCTTAGAAGCCAAGATGGTGAGACTTTGTCTCTCATACTTTGGACATATTATCAGGAGGGCCAGTCCCTGGAGGAGGAAAATTATGCCTGGTAAAGTGGAGGGTCAGCGAAAAAGAGGAGGACCCTCCAACAAGATGGATTGGCACAGTTAACAGTAGCAGTGAACTCAAGCGTAACATCTGTGATGATGGTGTAGGGCCAGGCAGTGTTTCATTCTGGTGTGCATAAGGTCAGTATGAATTGGAACTGACTTGATGGCACCTAACAACAACAACAACAACAACAACAATTCAACTACTAGGAAAATGTAGGATAAGCCAAAGAAAACAGTAGGTAGGTTCATGGAAAGAAGTCAAAGTCTGGTGTTTTGGTGTTGAACGGTCACTGATTGGGAAAGGAAAAATGTGTGCCCTACCTTGAAATTAGGCATCTCTTTCGTTCACTGTTCGTTTCTGAGGTAACAGGTGGAAACTCCATGGGTTTGACTGAGAGTGCCTTCATCTCCTGTGGTCATCGGAGAGTTTGCTTCAATACTGCTCCATTTTCAGCAACTCCACCAGAAATTAAGACACATTTTGCTTCCTTCTTATTAAATATAAAGAATTTAAAAATAATCCAAGCATCCTTTTAAATAAGTATTCATCTTGATTAGTTATTAGCTTGATTAGTATGTTAAAGCCCGTGATCTCAATTGTATTTTGCAATTTCTTCACCCCAGAATAGTTGACCTAATAGCATCAGCATCCTGAGCCATCGTCTTGGTCATGTTAGATAATCTTCTTAGCTTACCCAACAGAGTCCAGCCTGGAAAATGAATAAAAAGGGAAATCAGAAGTCAGTCTTTCTAGTTTATCCCATTACACAGTGCTTCTGGAAATGTTTATGCAAAGGAAGGAAACAGCAAGGGATTTGCTCTTAAGTTTCTGAAGAGGATGGAAAACAGTTTGGGTTTTTAAAATTTCCGTTAAACACTGATTGCTTTATTGGAGGTAAACTGTGTAGTCAAACTCTGGCTTCTAGGTAATTAATTTCCCTACTACCAGAGCACTGAGCCCCAAAGGACCAAAGAAGAGGTGAAAGTGAGTGAATGTTCTCACAATAAGTGTTCAGAGTTAATAGTAAAGGTGTGAGAAATCTCATGATATTTTCATGTGGACATTTTTTAATCACCTAATGACTATGAAACTTTATTCACAATTTTTTCTCCGAACAGATGAGCTCCGAAAGGAAATGCTGGATGATGTACAAAAGAGATTGATGAACTTAGTAAATAGCACAGAAGGAAAAGTGGATAAGTATGCTTTGCCTTATAACTTTTCTCTAATTTATGGAGATTACTTTTATCCTAGCAATGACTTTGACATGTAGATGTGTACATGTGAAATAATCTTTTAAAAGCTTTCCTATGTAGTGATGAGTTGCAGGTACTTTTAAACAGAGAATGACTGCCTAACTTATTTCCACCTTTTATTAAATAGATTTTGCTCAGCACATACTGTTTTTTTTAAAAACAGTGGAAGATTTTAAACATCATCTCAGTATGAAGTGCTTTAGAAAACAATAGAACTCCTTTTTTATTTTCATTTCTTTTCTTTTACTGTCCTTAACTGAATATATCATCTTGCTCGAATGTAATTGGTCTGAAGCCTGGAATGACAGGTAGGGTGGTGTGTGTGTGTGTGTGTGTGCACGCACATGCGTACATGCGTACATACGCATATGGAGATCTGGTTGTGTAGTGGATTAGGAGCTGGGCTGCTAACTGCAAGGGCAGCAGTTTGAATCTACCAGTTGCTCAGTGGGAGAAAGATGAGCCTTTCTGCTCCTGTAAAGATTTACAGCCTCAGACCCCTATACAAGATTGCTGTGAGTCGCAACCAGCTCGGTGGCATACAGCCACCACCATACATACACATAACATACATACATATGTAAGGTCCTGGTGTGGAGCTGCAGGATAAGCACTGGACTGGTAACTGCAAGGCCGACTGTTCAAAACCACCACCTGCTTTTCAGAAATACTATTCAGGATCGTTATGAGTTGGAACAGACTCGATGGCACTTAACAACAATAATAACATATATATAATATAATTTAGTATTTTAAAAAAACAGGTACTATGATCAAGCTTATTTTTGAATAAATGTGAATGGGGAAATTTTAATACTGGTTAAGTGCAAGAGCCATCAGTACCATTTAAAGTGAGGAGGGGGGAAGGCAATCTGATATGTCTCTGTCAGGTGACCACCAACCTAGACAGTTCCTGGGGTTCCTACTGATGTGTCTATTTGCTTGAAGAAAGCGTGACTAGTAAGTGATGTTTTTAAAAGGGAAGCTTCCTGGGTGTCTGAAATACTCTGAGGCTTGTCAGGATTTAAACAACTACAGCAGATGAGCTACTTTAAACTATGTTGTCATCACTGAGGAACGTGTTTGTGTTGGTTGTTTCTGTCAGTCGGTGTTAGGTAGCGAGTTCACCTGAACTGTTTCTGCTTCATTCTCAGAGTCCTGATGAGAAACCTCTTCATTGGACATTTTCACACACCGAAAAATCAGCGTCATGAAGTGTTCCGATTAATGGGGAGCATCCTGGGTATCAAAAAGGAAGACATGGAGCAGGTAAGGGAGCAGTGGAAGCCAGTTTCAGTACAGTCAGAACTCAAATGGCATCACTTCAATTGTTTCCTCTTCTGTATATTGTATGATTTTACTGAATATAATTTTTTAGTACTGTAGAAATGGAATCATTTCATTCTGCAGTGAAGAAGTTGACTTGTTGGTTTGGATGCTATTGATTGGAATCTTTAGTAACCTAGGAGCCACCTCTCCTATCGCATGTGTACATTCTGAGACATGGCCGTCCCGATGTCTTTGACTGAGGTACAGCCAGGAGCCAGGACTACAGTCCCGTGTCTCTGTGGTCTCTTTCATAGGATAGGTAGACTCAGAACTGGACTGAAAAAGAAGAGTTTGCTATATTTGAAATCATATAAAAATGGTTATTTTTTTTCTCTCTTTTTTATATTGATAAGACTTTTCTGTTCTAAAATTATCTTTCAGTTGTTTAAAGAAGATCGGGGTGGTGTTACCAGGTGGATGACTGGGTGGCTTGGAGGAGGATCCAAAAGTGTACCCAGTACACCTCTGAGACCAAGTCAGCAATCCCTGTTGAACAGTGTAAGAACCCGTTGTGTTCCTGTTCCTGTGAATGTCGCAGGGGACACAGTCACTTATTTGCAGAGTATCACAGAAGTTCTTTTCCAGCTTCTTTTATCATGCCCTTTAATTTTGGAGTTATAGAAATGAAGGTACAGGGAGGTTCATTTAAGGAAAATAAGCGAGTTCTAATTTTTAAAAAAGGAGCCCTGGTGTGGCACTGTAGGATAAGCACTGGACTGCTAGCCACAAGGGCAGTGGTTCAAACCCACCATTCCCTCCTCAGAAACTCCATACACAGGGTCACTATGGGTTGGAACTGATTTGACGGCACTTACTAACAACAAATAATTAAACAAAAAAATGTTTTTCCCATGATGGGTATTTATTATTATTATTATTATAATATATGGTTGGGTTGTTTTGTTTTGGTAAATATGTGAGGGGACTTAAAAAAGTTCATGGGAAATGGAATTGAAAGTTCATGGCATTTTAACATGAACGTTTTGAATCCCCCTTGTATCTACAGGGACTAAAACACTTGCCATTTCAACAGTCTTCACATGTACGGTTCAGTGACATTTTAAGTATGTCCATCATGTTGACTGTCAACATGGACTTCCCAATTTTTCCATCACAGTTTCCATCATGTTATTGCATAAAGATTGTGTTTTAAGCTTTTTATTAATATGGTACTTTAAATTTTCATACTATTAATTGTTCTTTTACTTGTGCCTGGCCATGCTGCTGTAGGCACACAGTCATTGGTTTGTCTCAGTGACTGAAGATGAGATTCTTGAAGACCAAGGTTTTATTTGACTCCTGCATGCATCTACCTAGTTGTGCCAGTGAATACACCTGCTCTGTCCTAGACTGTTGTCAGCATGGGGACACAGCAGCAGAGCACACAGACAGTGTATCTGCCCTCAACAAATTTACCATTCTGGTAGGAGGAGGTAGTTCATAAACTTGTAAACACAATTCCTGGTGTAGAGTAGACTGTAGGTGGATATTGACTGAGTTGAGTAGCATTGGGAGTTAGAATGAGCCCTGGTGTGTGTGGTACTATAGGAGAAGTACTGGACTGCCATTGCAAGGTCATCAGTTTAAACCCATCAGTCACTCTCAGGAACCCTATACAGCCTCGCTAGGATTCAGAACTGACTCAACAGCAAAAAACAATAACATATGAATTAGAATATGGAGTTGTTTTTGTTTACCCTTCTCTAATTTTGTAGTAACTAGGAAACTGAGGATTGGTAATTTACTTAGAACTGGTTAGTTAAGGATAAAACCCAAAAGCTGTTTTACTTGGATCACATAAAATGTAATTTAAAGAAACAGTTTAGATTATGTTATTTTAATTTGGTATATTACTGGCGATGTTTTGCCATGTTTTTTGGTTGTGTCTTACTGTAGAAAAATATAACGAATTATGTAATTTTTCAAGTCCTTGTAAAGAAATGAAAATGATTTAAGATTCAGTGTCTTAAGTGTCATTGATGGTAAGAAATGAGAGGTTTATCAGTCAGTTATCAGGTGGGGAGTTCTGTGATCCCATATGATAAGCACTGGACTACAAACTACTAGGTCTGTGGTTCGAGCCTGCCAGCTTCTCCTTGAGAAAAAAGATAAGGCTTTTTGGTCTCGCAAAGATTTAAAAAGCCTCGGGAACTCTATACAGCAGGGGTAGGGAACCTTTTTTCTGCCAAAATTTATAACATCTTTCACGGGCCATACAAAATTACCAACTTAAAAATTAGCCTGCTATGTTTGATCAAGCATTTAATTAACTCATCCCTAATGTGATGTGTAGAACTGTGGTTGCCTTGGCAGGGCCACACCAGATAATTTTCCAGGCCTTGTATGGCCTTTGGGCAGGCTGTTCCCCACCTCTGCTATACAGGGTCACCATGAGTCAGAACAACGCAACAGCACTTCACGACAACATCAGTTAGCCGGTTTATAAAGTATTTGCAGTGAGCAAAGATTATTGACTAATTGTTGAAATTTTATACTTGATACCCATGTAGTTAAAGTACAAGCGATTTCCATTGTTCTTAAATCTTATCTGCAAAAAAAGATTCAAGTAGCATTGTGAAGTTTCTAGTGTTTCATTAGAATAGGTGGTACATTTTCTTAGTTATAGTGAATGAAATTGTATTATCTAGTCTAAGTATAACCAAAATATTTTCTTTTTAGTCTTTTTCAGAACTTTTTGTTAAATTTCTAGAAACAGAATCTCATCCATCTATTCCACCACCAAAGCTTTCTGTTCATGATATGAAACCTCTAGATTCGCCAGGAAGGAGAAAACCAGCTATGAATGAACCAGAAAGCTTGAAAGGTAAAACCAGATACTTATTTTTTCTGTAATTAAAAAACCTGACTACTTTATGATTATGTTTTACAGTGATAGGAACTACATTTTTAGTGTTGTTGAAACTGTGTAATCACCTGTTTCCAAACTTCTGCTAAGGCTTCAGGTTTGGACTTCATGAAATCCAATTATTTAAATGAACTAGGTGCAGTTAAACATTAGGAAGTATTTTCCCTTTACATATCAGCATGATCCTCTTTTCTTGGCATAACTCTTTGGAGGAACTTTTTTTCTAGAAGTGGTGGTGGAACTTCGGTTTGGAGGTGGGAGAAGTAGAGTCAGGTAGGACAGGCTCCTTGGGGGAGGCGCAGAAAAAACCAGAGAAGGTGCTTTCTCAGAGCAGCTCCAGAGCTTTGCATCTAGGGCATCAGTTTCCTGTACCCAACAGTGGAAAAATCTGACTGTAGAAAGGAAAATATGGTGATTTCTGAATCGATCGGGATGCGGGACTCTCCCAGCGGCCACTCCGCCTGGGCTGAGATCAGAGGGCAGGGCCACAGCAGACTGATAACAGTAATTCAGCACTAAAAACCACGCAGTTAAAACCACGCAGCGGCATTTGAAAAAAGAGGTGTGGAGATTTTACACAATTCTTTCTTCTTCTCCCCTTTTGCCCATTCTGGACACCTTCAGGCGGGTAGGAGCACACCCCTAAAAGGATCCAGAGTTGCGCCCATGGTTTTCCCACGGCACAGTGAGGAGGTCCCTAAGAGGAGTCCCATTGGTCCCGTGGGCTGATCCTTTGGAGGCTGCTTATGACGTCTGACTCTGGGACCCAACTCTAAAGTTGACCTGGGCGGGATCCTTTATTCCTGCCCACCCAGCCAGAAAAAGCAGGTCTGGCCATGCAGACAAACTGTATGAATACTCTATAAAACCCCAACATTAAAAGGCAAGAGCCAACACCAGCTACTATGCACAAGGATGCAGCTAATTTGAGAATTAACGTTGTGCACACACAGATAGATATCTGACTGACCTTCAGAAATAAAACTAGTGTACAATCTTTCTCCCATTGATTTCTCAATATCTATCTGTGCCACCTCCACAGTGGTGACTAGAGGAGTGGACACCCCCACCCACTGCTGGAGGTTTCTGCTGTGCCCGAACACTGACTTGTGTAGCAAAGGCTATGGTTTTATTTTTGTTTTTGTTTTTGTTTTTGAGTGGTGGTTTTTGTCTCTGCTTTTATATTGTTTCTGTTTTTGGTTCTTTTGCTCTTAGTTTTTTTCCAGGAGGTGTGGGAGCTTTCTCTCCCTACATTACTCGAGAAGAGACAGCAATCGTGGCCATATAGCCAAGCTACAAGCATACCCCATAATATCCCTCCATCGAGACAGGAGTCAATACTAGCTTCTAGGCATCTAGAAAGGGAAGCCTATCTCTAGATCACATACACCAGGAAACACTCAGTAAGCTTAACACAGCAACATACATTCACTTAATCCTTGAAAACACACCTAACTACTGAAAATGTCCAAGAAAAAGAAAAAGTAACAAAAGTTCTCAGCACATATCCAAAAACAGAAAAGAGTAACTGAGACAAATGAGCTTGAGGCAGACATAGGCTTTCCACTAGAAGAAGAGCAGGCTTTGGAAATGCCTGAGAAGGAATTGAGAAGAATATGTTGACAAATTCAAATGCTTCCCAGAGGAGTTGAGGAAAATAAGGAAGAAATCAGGAAACTGCTTCAGAAGCAATCAAATGGAAGTGGTAGTGGATTTGTCAAGCTTGGTCACGTGTTTTTCCTTCTCACTAGCGGCAGTTATCGCTAGTCAGAGTTCTAGGTGTCCTTGATAGTTGGAGAAGGACTTTCCCTTTTGTGAAAATCTGTGTTGCTTCTAGTAAGCAAACCTTGGGATGTTAATAAGATTTATCAGCGTAAACTTGACTTAGACAATGAGAATGTTCAGAGGCACTCTCCAGTGCTGAAAGGTCTGCATGATAACTACTGATTTGGTGGCTGCCGACATGTATGTATGTCTTCCTGCTCTCCAGTCTGTGAC